TAATTACATTTTAAACTGTGTCTATCTTACCCTCCCTGACTCTATCTGACTATGGGGTGGGGGTGAGGGTGGGGGTGGAGGCTGAAAGTTCCAACCTTCTAATCACATGATTAGCTCCACTGACAACCCTCACCCTTTGGTACTTCCAAAAGTCATCTCATTAGCATAACAAAAGACACCTTGATCACTCTCTCTGCTTAGGAAATTCCAAGGATTTTAGGAGCTCTGTGCCAGAACGACTAGGCAAAGACCAAATATATATTTCTTATTATAAGTCACAATATAATAACTACCCATCCAAACTGACAAAGGCTATCTGATGAGTTAAAGTTTTGAAGGATTTCAACAGCCTATTTAGCTCTAGATAAAAGAACCAAATCTCCTGCTATGCATACAAGAAGGAAAATGTGTGAAGTTACTTGGAAGTGCAAGTTACTTCTTTGTAAACTACAAGGCCAGGTTAGGCTTTAAGTCTGAAACTGAAGCCATTGGTCTCCAGCCAGCCTGACTAGGGACCACTGAGAAACACCTCAAAAACTAACGACAAAGAGCAAATAAAAGCAAGAATCTCTGAACATCCCTTAGGTCACGACTAAGACAGACTGGTTGAGACCAAGCTCATCCAACACAAAGGGAAAAGCGGCTCATTTCTCAAGCTTTAGATGACACGGACAGGAAAAGAAAGAGGCTTCAATGACCTTTTCCAAAAAAATAGGCCAACAAGCCAGTTTTGAAATTCCAGAGGCTCTCAGATGCTATTTCTCCAGGTAACCTTTTCCATATGCCACCTCTGTTCTTATAATCTGAACTTTGCCTGATTTATCAGTCTTCTCAACTGTGGACAAAATGACACAAATGTGTATTTACAATGATCTCTTTAAAAATATCTACCTAGCAATTCAGCCTGCTATTTTTCCTTTTGAACTGGCAACCCAGTTCCTTTAGATTCACAATGATGGATGTAATGATGAGAGGAGAATCACTCACTACTCCCTAGCCAGGAGGCAGAAGCATGGTGAGGGCTTTCTTGAGCAATTTCCCCTTGCCAACTCCACTTAGCCCTGGACTGCCATACACTTTCTATTCCTTCTCTAAGCCACATTACAGAGGACCGTAGTTGACTCCTGCCTAATGAGGGTCAGGGCTGTGTCTACCCAAACGTGCTTAAGCCCACTGCTCTTATTGCTAGCCCACAATTTGGTTACATAGCTAAGAAATATGGATGAGGAGAAAGGGTTAGTGGTGTGAAGGGATAATGGTAATGACTTGAAGGTTAAAAACACTGCTGAATTAGCTGTGGACAAGACAACAGAGAGATTAGGTGTGGCAGACTGTAGTACTTTAGGTTTACATATTCCAGTTGCTTCACAGCATGTGCATTTGTGTGTGTATAGCTTTTCAATATAGTAGAATCATTCTATTAATGAATCAATAAAAATACAACATATAATATGTATATATACACACACAATACATTTTTATTGACCAATAGATTGATTGATTCTATAGTATTGCAAAGCTATTGCTATTGTCTTACCTCAATCAGTCCCTGATATTTTAGGGCTTTTCTTTATTTTGTTATTAGTTTTCACCAGGATTAGAAAATAGCTATCCATTAGCATTTATACAACATCCTTTATAAGAGAAAGGGGCAGATTTTATATTATACAGTGATTATGGCCCCAAATCCACAATATTACAAGTAAGTTGGAACAACCGGGAAATTAATTTTTGATTATATAATTTTAAAAATATGGATTAAAAGTCCAACCTTTATGCTTTGTTTTACATAAATAGCATAGGATCATAGCTACTTTTCATTTTTCCTACTTGAAGAAAGCCAGAACGAAGCCTACCATTGAACTGGCAGTGAGTGGAAAGAAGACTGGGATTGTGGGTGCTGGTGAAGTTCTATGTCATCTAGGTGAGGAGAGTAACAGCCCTGTGATCACTCTTCTTTAGCCATTCATGCTTGCTTCCCCTACACCCGACAGGTAGGTGAGTGTGAATAATACCTCCCAGAAATTTATTAATAAATTTCCTTATCTTAATATGTATTTTGTTAAACATTATTACAACATTTTCCCGGTCAGCGTGGCTCAGTGGTTGAGCATCGACCTATGAACCAGGAAGTCACTGTTTGATTCCCAGTCAGGGCACATGCGTGGGTTGCAGGCTCAATCCCCAGTAGGGGGTGTGCAGGAGGCAGCCAGCAATGATTCTCTCTCATCATTGATGTTTCTCTCTTTCTGACTCCCTTCCTCTCTGTGAGCAATAAAAAATATATTTTTAAAAAACATTATTACAACATTAAAGGAAAAACCATCTTTGACAGAACCATTTTCCATTCTTATTCCATCTCTGGTCATGTGCATGGAGCTATATTTTATATGACTATATCCTTGTATATGCAATTTTGTGTTCTAATCTGTTTACTTTGCAAAAAATATTTTCATGTTTACATTTATTAATTTACCTTATTCATCAAGCCTTTATTAAGGTATGTATTAGGTTTTAGGCACTATTCCAGGAACCACAAATGTAAAGATAGATAAAAACCAGATCCCTGTTGTTAAAGAACTAGCAAGTTAGCAGAATATACCAGGTAATTACAATGCACAGTATTGTCATAAATACAGACTTAAAGGCTTCTGTGTTTGCCATCTTAATGGCTTCACAATCTTCTAGCGGGATAATATAACAATTCACATAACTATTCACTTTCTTGATTATTTTTCATTATCACGTGTACTGCTGCAATGAACATATTTCACTTTTTTTTCTGTTAACCATTTTCTGTGGATAAATTCCTTGGAGTGAGATTACTGGGTCAATGTGTAGTATTAATTCAGATTTTTATAGCTCTTGACATACCTTGCTAAATAGCTTCATAAATATATGCAAAGTCACCACTTCCAAGCATTGCCAACATCTTACCACTAAATAATTTTTTAGAATTTTCAAAAACAGGACCTATTATTGTGTTCAATTGTATTTATTTAATTAACAGCAGGGTGGAACATTTTCTCATCGTTAGGATTTTTATGTCACCACGGGGGATTTGTGTTTATGGAAAATTTATCTATCATTTATCACTGTTATGGCAGCTTCCTAATATATTTTCAGATGGTACAAATAACTTTTCATCCTAATTTACTGCAAAATTTTCTGTGTTGTTCTCTTTGTTTAGCTAGATTCACTTCAAATCACACCAAAACTTTAACCCTTTTTTTAAATTAGGCACACTGTTGTTGGGTTTTTCCCTCTGGAATTTCTTAAGAAATCTGTCCTTCTACCATTGATATAAATAGTCTACGCTGTTGTCCATTTTTCACTCATTCAACTTTCAACAAATTTCCTATGCGTCCTTCTTGGCACCATGGATAAAAAATGATGAATGAATGACATATTAATACAAATAATTATTATCCAAAACTTGGAAATAGGCAAAGGGGTTACTGTATGTCTTCTAAGTGCCACACAGGGAACCTTACTAATTAATTCTCCAGGGATACATATCTTGTTTGACATACTATGTACTATACATGAGGTTAGTTTACAACTCTGTTAGTGGGGGTGTTAAGTGGTAGAAAAGTGAAAGCAATGCAAATGATTCTTGCCACATGGCAATGAAAATAGATTTTGACCAGCAGAGGTGTAAGTGATTTATCCCCTAAAAAAGATAACCTCAGAGGTTACAGCTTTAACTGTAGGATACTACGTAGTTTTGCATCTAACTTAGCAATCTTAATCAAGAATTTTCTCTTTTAGTGATTATAAATACAATTCTCTTTGAGTCAGCCTTACCATCTTACAGATCCCCTCATTAGTGAGTTAAATAAAGCTTTGACACATGCTCACCTTATGTTTGTATGTGAGTCAGGAAATCTGGCTGCTAGCATCAGCCCTATTCACATCATAGTTCATTTAATATCCTTGACTTCTAGCTTCCTTTTTTGTAGTAAATTGTGGGTTTCTATAAAATCCAATGGTAGTCAGGAAACCAAAGCAATCAGAAAACTGTATTTCTACATACATATAACATGCATTGAATCAGAATGAATGATCAGGTTCTAAGTGCGAAGCCCAGGCCCTCCCAGGGATTCTGAGAAGCCCATACCAGTGTCTGATGGGACACTTCACCAGCAAGGCTGTCTCTGAGTAGTCAGGACCAAACAGGAACAAGGGACAGTGGTGCAATGGGAAGAACAAGGTCTCCAGCCAAGTGGACCTGGCTTCAATCCTCAGCCCTACCTCTCCTAGAGTTTCTTGAGCTTCATTCTTCATTTACAAAGAAAATGGGCCCAACGGGTGTTGCTCAGTGGTTGAACATCAACCTTTGAACCAGGAGGTCATGGTTCCATTGCAGGTCAGAGCACATGCCTGGGTTGCGGACTCAATCCCCAATGTGGGGAGTGCATGAGGCAGCCGATTAAGGATTCTCTCTCATCACTGATGTTTCTATCTATGTCTCCCTCTCCGGTCCTCTCTGAAATCAATAAAAATATTTTTTTTAAAAAGAAAGTGCTTGTGATAAGCCAACAGGGCAGTGTGTAAAGAACCTTGTCACACATGGCACATACTAGGTCTTCCATGAATATCACGTATTTTCCTTCCCTCTGAATGCACAGAGTCCCCCACACTGAATACTGAATCCATCTTCTAGACATCTCTAGATCAAGAGCACTTCTGGATATCCAGAGGCTACGAGCAATTGAAGCAGAGGAGAAAAGCTGTGGCATTGGGTTGTAATTTCAGAGGTGCCTAGCACTAGCATGCTGTGTTAGAAAGATAATGGTTTTAAATGGCCCCACATCTGGTCCCCAGCAGGACTGGTGGCATCCATCTCTGATAACCCTTTTCTTCTGAGAAGAAACTCAACTAGATTATGTCTCAGGTCTCTTTGAGCTTTAACATCCACCATGGAAAGGCCAACCAGCCATGAGTTGGTTCTGACAACCCGTTCAAGGCTACCACACCTGCCTGCCTGGCACACTTACCTCTCCTACCACCTCTATGATGTCACCAACTTTCAGCTCCAGTTCGTCATCATTCTGGGGCAGGTAGCTGAACGCCACCTGGCACCGGCGCCTCCGCCGCTCGCCTAAATGGGAAAAGCAAAATATTTAGATACAGCACTTGTCTCAAAATTAGATTTTAAGGAGAGGCTTCCTAGGCATGCAGGCAAATTAAGCTGACTTGTATCAAATATGCTCTCTGGGACGTGGCTAGAGGCACAGCAGCCCTGTTCTCTCAGAGAGAGGCAGTAGAAAGCAGAGCAATGCTTCTTGGTCTTTTAAAAGCTGCCGGGTCAGAAAGGCATGGATATGAGAAACCAATCCGTTGGTGCAAAAGGAAAAACCCCACCCCAAAGCGCTGGAGCACAGTGTTGCCTTAAACGGTTTTCCATGGATGGGGCTTTGTATTTGCTGCTGTTGATTTTTAATGAAAGCTGATGTGATATAGTAGAGTAAAAAGAATGGTCTGCTTCTAATGCTAGCAAGGCAGAGGAAATTTTTCCCCAATGTGCAAAGGAAAAGATAAACTAGCCTGGCCTTTTTCTCACTAATCATCACCCTTTCAACATGCTGGAACTCAGGCCTGATAAGCAGAGGCTAATTAGATTTCAGGCTGCTCTTGGTGCCATTTCAAACGCCCCCAGGGGTTCAACAAATCCACTTCTGTCCTCTTCCCTCTGTTCCCAGGGGATCCATTAACAGGATCCCTGGCTGCTTACATAGAACCAACTAACGCAGGCAAATCAAGATAAAAGCCAGGACCACACTTCACTTGACCAGAAGTCACTCAAGGTTATAGCATCTCACCCAGTGTGGCCCCACTGGGAGGCCCTCCCTGACTTAGAGCTGGTTCAAGTACAGACACACCTATCCACACCACATATATGCATTGTGGGGAGAAAAAACATGCATGTGGTATGTGTAATGGGTAGGGGAGTGAGGGAGATAGAGAGACAGACAGCAGTGGAGGCCCAAGCTGGGCATAGGTGACTAGGAGAGAGGAACTGAGACTAGCATTGCTCAGAAGTTTGTCGCTTAAAGCTGACCACCTCACATCATTCCTTCCTGCTACCACATGGCCTAGAAAACCAAGGGGATCATCAACTTCAAGGAAACATTTAGAAATGCTTACATTATTTTTGGAGACTGCCTACAGGAATTCTTTTTCATTTCTAATCTTTTCCCTGAGAAAGCAAATCCCTACGGGGTGATCATAGGCCACATTAAGGGCCCCACGCAGAACATCATACAAAAGGGAAGGTCTTTGCTACCTCTGATGAGCTCACTGATCAATATTTTTCAAAAGCCACTGGCCTAGTTCTCTCTGTTCCATTTTTCTCTGCCTGAACCTCACTAAGGAAGAACAGAGTTGAACAGAGGGAAGAGGGCAGAAGTTCAGAATCAATATCTTGTCTAATCACATCTTTGGCAACTACAAGAATATACTCCACCCCTTTGTACAAGATCTCAAGCTGTCTGATCTTGATGAGAACAAACGCTGATTTGTTCAGGCCAATTCCCAGGTGCTAATAGCATTGTCAGCAGGCAGAGTAGGCTCTCCCATGGACAGAGGACCCATCCAACTGTCTTTTCCCAGGCAACAAGTGAGAAAGTGTGGTACCCCAGTGCAAAGAACTCCACCACTATTCTATGGTTTCTAACAGAACAGAAGACCAATCAAGCACTGTGCATCATAAAGGATAGAGAGTTCTCATTCTAGCTAAGAAAGTCTAGATGACAAAGTGATCTTGGCACCCATAACCTGGGCCTGGTGACTCTCGTAGTCCCTTTAAGATGCAGTTCTACTATAAATCTTTAAAAGCATTATTTGCTAGATCTTATGTTAAAAGCAAACTCTGCAGAAACAAATTTGAATACAAAACAAACATGACAAATGTCTAGAACCCAACACTCATAACCACAGAAATCACCAAATTCCTGACTGAACTGACTTAAAATAGCATCTAAAGACCTACTGTTAGCTGAACTCACAAAACTTACAGTTGTATGCAAGTTCAATATTCACAAAAACCTCTGTAAAAAATAGCATCTAATCCAACATAGCAAAAGAGAGAGTGAGATATTCTTCAAGAAAAGACTAAGCTGCCGAACCGGTGTGGCTCAGTGAATAGAGCGTCGGCCTTCGGGCTCAAGGGTCCCGGGTTCGATTCCGGTCAAGGGCATGTACCTTGGTTGCGGGCATGTCCCCACTCGGGGGCGTACAGGAGGCAGCTGATCGATCTCTCTGATCGATGTTTCTGACTTTCTATCCCTCTCCCTTCTTCTCTGTAAAAAATCAATAAAATATATTAAAAAAAAAAAAAAAAAAGAAAAGACTAAGCTAGCAGATTCCGGACGTGCTTGTTTGGTATTAGGAAGAATGACACATTTACTCTGCCAGACTAGTCAATATTTCTTAAAAAGCTTTCAAGAAGGGAGATACACTGCCAACATACAGGATTAATAAAAGTAAGCCCTACCCTGACTGGCATGGCTCAGTGTTGACCCGTACACTGAATGGTTATGGGTTTGATTCCTCATCAAGGACATGTACCTGGGTCGCAGGTTAGATCCCCCACTCTGGTCAGGGCAACCAATCCATGTGTCTCTCTCACATCGTTTCTCTCCCTCCCTCCCTCCCTCCCTCCCTCCCTCCCTCCATTCCTTCCCTCCCTTCCAATCTCTCTAAAAAAATCAATGGAAAAAATATCCTAGGGTTGATGATTTTTTTTAAAAAAAGAAAGAAAAGTGAGTTTTCACAGGAGGCATCCAGAGGTTGCTGTGGTAAAGGCCACCTAATCAGACCCCAAGCAGAAACAGCTACTCCCTCTGGCACTGGGATAGCTTTCATCTTCTCTAAAGCACTTCTGATACTCATCACTCTTATCACATCCTGGCAAATACATAAGTTCAAAAGAAAAAGAAAGGAGCCTGAATGAGCAATCATTTTTGCAAAAGTGGAAATTGGGGCTCCGTGACTTACTCGGTTACCAAGCTAGTAAGTGACAGTATGTCCTTGGCCTGAGTTCAGAGCTCTCCCTTCAATGCTGGATAAACCAATTCAGCTCCAATCTTGTCCCAAATTCTCTGTGATCTGCACTTAACTGCTTTCTGCAACGCTATATAACATAGCCTTAGGTCTTCACCAGGGCTTTCTCATCACAGATAACTGTCAAACTCCTAGACTGCTGCTCTTCCAGGCCTCAACTTCTACACATCAGTTTCAATCCTGTTTTCCAGTTCTACCCAACCTAAAGCCCACTTCAGGGGGGCTGTTGATGTGGAGACACTGAATTTCAGTTGCTTCCATCTATCTTAAATTTAAGGAAGCTCTTGATGTCATTTTCCATTTTTTCCTCTCTTGGCATTTCATTGATGTTTACTAGCCAGTCTTGACTTTCCTCAAAGAAGTAAGCAGACAACATATATAGGGTGTCCCCAAAAAATGTATAGACACTTTTAACAGCTGATAACTCACTTAATTTTCACTCCTTTTCAGGTTTAACTGATTTAAAATAATGGGTGAATCCAAACTAAGCTTTGGACAATGAAAATTTATCCTATAGCGCCACTAGACTTTTTTTATGAGGATATGTACAAGATAAAGTTTATGTACACAAATAGTGCACACAATGATTCTTGATGTTTGTGATTCCATTGCTTCATTTGTCAGTAGTGACTGGACCAAAATGGTCATCAGTTTGAAAATAGGCATTGAAAAAATTTATTTATTTCTGTAGATTCTTTTAAATTTTGAAAATGAAGTGTATATTAATAAACACTGCCTTTATAATAGTTCGGTGTGTATACATTTATTGGGACAACCTGTATATCTGAACAAGAAACTATGTATATTTTATTTTAAATTTAGTCCTCTTAAAAGATAGAAAAGACTTGTTTTAAGAAGGCAAAGCTATATGTATACAACTGTTCAGGGCAGCACTGTTTCTAACAGCAAATATATACAAGCATAGAGGTCTACACAGGAAACATCCTGAATGTCCACTGGGAGGGAAAGGCTACATAAATCATGTGGAAAATGAAAAAGCCATTAAATAGGGCAAGCAGTTCTATGTGTACTAACGTGTAAAGGGTGTCCATAATACATTAAGTTCAAAGACCAAGTCACATAATATGTACAATATAAGCCCAACATTGTAAACATACAGACATCCTCACTCTATAACCTCCACCATGGACTCTTTATTTACTCCTGATCACCCACAACCTAGCCCAGAGTATGCATTCAACAAATGTTTATAAAAGAATAAGTGGATTCATTCAACATTCAACTAATATGTGACAGCCTGATACCATTAAGTGAATGAGAGAAAGGGTATGTATGCCCAAACAAACTTTAGCACAGAAAATGGTATGGAAGAGTACACTCCAATGTAACAGTGGTATTTTTGGAAAAAGGGTTGGGAGAGTGTAAAGAAAGACTCATTTAAATGTTTCTGCACAAAAATTTGTATTTACAAAGGGCATGTAACACACAAGTTTTAAAACATCACACTTATTAAAACAATTATTTTCTATTATGAAACATCCTTCTGATCACATTTTGATGACATTAATAGTAAAGTTAGTCTTATTTTCCAAGTAAATAAATACCAATAGAATCAGGCAGAAAGGTAGTTGTCACAAGCTAAATGACAAGGGGGCTCTGAACTGATTGTGGATGATCCATAAAGACAGTGGGAAGTGTGAGCCCAGAAAAAGCTCCAAACCTATAGCCCACACTAATTATTCTGATGAGACACTGTTAAAGAACCCCAACGAGCCCCACAATATTCTCCCAGTTACCAATCCAGGATCATTTTCCCTGGACTGACTCCTTAGACCACACAGCCCAGGCAGCCATGTCCCTCCTGGCAGTGGAGGGGCCCTGTGTCCATTGGAGCTCACTCACACTCACTCACTCATTCACACATGCTCAGCCACAAGGACCTTTCTCTGGGTTCCCCTAACAACCACTGTTTTTCTCTAGCTCTGCCCTCATCCAAGAGTATTTCAGTTATCTCTGAGTGTCAATGTATATGTTTGTCTCCACCCTTTCAGCTCTGACACCTTCCAACTCTTTCAT